CAGACATGGCACACAAAACCATTACAATGCACCTGACCCACACACACACACACACACACACACACACACACACACACACACACACACACACAAACGAGTGACCAGATATTCTGACTTGCGCGGGAATGTCCTGCTTTCACTCTTGTCCCATACAGTATAGCTTCACCGCTCAGTCACATTTACGGAAAAATTACAGCCATCAAATAAACAAACGTAAACTAACCAATTCATTTTTTGACATATTTGTACCCGCCCTCAGACTCACACAAATGAATGTACAGGACGTTTTGACACAAAAGATCATTTCTTCTTTTATTTTTTTACACAATTTTGTAATTAATGAAGGGAAGGAAAAAATTAAATAATTATTTAAAAAATTCTCAAAAGAAAACCATGAGGTACACYCAATGTATCCAGCTGTGAAGGCGACAGAGACTGAGAAATTGTATGTCTGAGAGACTGTTTTTCAAGTTTTCAGCTATATAGCACTGACCTTATTGTTGCAAAATAGTATTTATTTTTATCATTTGAARTGTGTTAAATGAGGTATTTTATTTAAGATTCTATTTAGAAAATGGGAACAAACTGCGTCTTTGTTTCAGGTTGCTAATAAAATTCAAGACTTGTAAGATTTTCTTTTCTCTTCTTTCTTTCTTTTTTGTGAAATTAGCTGTTATGTGCAAATAACTGGTTCAGGCCTTGAGCTTAGGAGCCTCTTTCTGTGTGAATGACTCATAGGTCAGGGGCTTAACAACACAAATGCACTTCTCTGAAAATGGTCAAGAAAAAAAAAACTGCCAAACTCAAAAGAAAACCTTTGAAAAACTCACAAATAGCCCAATCAACAYTTGATTAAGAACACTGTATGTCACATGGGTGTCCACTCCTGGCCTTTGAGAGCCGCCATCTTGCAAGTTTTTCTTGTTGCCCTGCTCCAACACCTAATTCAGTGATTGAATCACCTCTTCAATCACCTCTTCTGMAACACTGGACCAGCTCTACACCCCCAGCAGGGTCCTGGAGGGTGCATGGGAGATCGCCCAACCAGTCTACATGTGTTTTGTAGACTTGGAAAAGGCGTTCGACCGTGTCCCAAGGGGGACCTTGTGGGGGTTCTCCGGGAGTATGGGGTACCGGGCCATTTGATATGGGCTGTCAGGTCTTCCAGGTTTCCAATGAGAGTTGGACTCCGCCAAGGCTGCCCTTTGTCAACGATTCTGTTCATTTCTTTCATGGACAGAATTTCTAGGRGCAGCCGAGGTGTTGAGGGGATCCGTTTTGGTGGCCTTAGAATCGCATCTCTGCTTTTTGCGGATGATGTGGTCCTGTTGGCTTCATCGGAACGTGATCTGCAGCTCTCGCTGGAGTGGTTCGCGGCCGAGTGCGAAGCGGCCGGGATGAGGCTCAGTGCCTCCAAATCCGAGGCCATGGTCTTGAGCCGGAAAGGGGCAGAGTGCCTTCTCCGGGTCAGGGGGGTTGCCCTGTCTCAAGTGGAGGAGTTTAAGTATCTGGGGATCTTGTTCACAAATGGGGGAAGAAGGGAGAGGGGGGTCGACAGGCGGATTGGCGCAGCGTCTGCTGTAAAGCGGGAGCTGTACCGGTCCGTCGTGGTGAAGAGACAGCTGAGTCAGAAAGCGAAGCTCTCAATTTACCGGTCGATCTACGTTCCTACCCTCATCTATGGTCATGAGCTTTGGGTCATTACCGAAAGAACGAGGTCCCGGATACAAGCGGACGAAATGGGTTTCCTCCGCAGGGTGTCTGGGCTCTCCCTTAGAGATAGGGTGAGAAGCTCGGTCATCTGGGAGGGACTCAGAGTAGAGCCGCTGCTCCTCCACGTCGAGAGGAGCCAGTTGAGGTGGTTCAGGCATCTGGTAAGGATGTCTCCTGGACGCCTCCCTGGTGAGGTGTTTCGGGCACGTCCCACCAGGAGGAGGCCCCGAGGAAGACCCAGGACACGCTGGAGGGACTGTGTCTCTCGGCTGGCCTGGGAACACCTTGGAGTTCCCCCGGAGGAGCTGGAAGAAGTGGCTGGGGAGAGGGAGGTCTGGGCCTCCCTTCTGAAGCTGCTGCCCCCCGCGACCCGACCCCGGATAGGCGGAAGAAAATGGATAGATGGATGAATCACCTCTTCAAGTTCTGCAGAAGACTCTTAATCACACATTCATTCAAATCAAGCATGTTGGAGCAGAGAAACATCTGAAACCTGCAGGACGGCAGCCCTTGAGAACCAGAATCATACCCCTCTTTTATAAAATCCCAAGAAAGTTGGCCTTCTTGGAAGCAAATTACAAAATGTCAGGATGACTCAGGACTTTTTCACAGTATTTTAGGTACCCTCCTGCAGTATCGCTCATTCCAGGGCTAAAGCCTTCCTGCACCAACAAGACTTCTCTGGCTGCCAACATCACATTTCAGAGCAACACTTCTGAGTGGGCGAGATACTGGAGTTTAGCAAAGCTTTGAGCATTTCTCGTCCCAAGTTGTCCCGTCACATAAAACATCAGGTGCACTCTCCGTCTTGTTGAACTCCACAGTGGTTTACAGTGTGTTTGCTTCTGTTAACACGTGCAGAACAACAGACTCCCATGAGACCTCTAAAGGCTCAGGAACAAACATTTGCTGACTCCTGATGTGGCCTGAATTTTTGCACGTGCACGGAGGCTGAATATGTAGAGTTTATCCAACAAATCCAAAAATAAAGAGCCACTTCTCCATTCCCCTGCTTTTTGTAAAAGGTTTTATATCCAGAGCATGCAAGAACGAAGCAGCACTTCTGTTCAAATATTAGAACTAGAAGGTAAAAAGGAAAGCCCTTAAAGGCCAGAGAACTTCCTGTCAGATGAACAACACCCATTCCAGGGCCCATTACTGTCAAAGCAATCAGACCTGGAGGTGTTGTCATGAATAATTCCTGATTCTTGTTCTTGTAGGATGCTTCCTGTCCTGTCTCTGTCTGTGTGGGAGTGTTCATGCACGGGATATTCATTATTGAACATCCAAAAGCGCAGGTATTTCGAGTGAACGTCTAAAAAAAGGGGGATGACTCAAAAACATCGACGTTGCGTTCGTTGTTGCGTAACCTTGCAAAAAAGGTGCAGGGGTGTTCGACGAGGCGGCCGAGTCAAAACGCCGAGAACAAAAGAGGCGCTCGTCGTTGAAAAGCCAAACGAGCGGCGATGGACTTGCCGTCGCGTCACGAGTCGAGCGAAAAGACGAGAGAGAGGCGTCGTCGCTGCATCCCTTGCACGCAGGCTCCTCCGTTGAGTTCCAGCTATCATGAATTCGGTCAGCGGGTTGCTTGTTTCCATGGCGACGGCCAMTGTGAACGTGAAAGGATGTTCAAGAATGATTGTAGTGACTTTTCCCTGAAAGAAAAAAATGTGGTGATGTAATCGGTGACACAGCTTGGCTGGAGCTGTCACTGTAATCGTCTGTGTGCGTCTGGGCTTCTCTGTCTTTTCTCTCCACATTTCTGAACCACCCACATATCTGGCAGTCAGTGCCCTTGTTTGTACGAGAAATAATGACCGCCTGTGTGTGAGTGTGTGCGCGCGCATGTGTGTGTTTGTGGCACAAGGTCAGCAGCGTCTCGCAGACAGTCATCGTCCATTTACGGCTGCGGAAGAGGAAGGCTCAGCGGCCTTGAATCGCCTCCCTGTGCGCACGTCTCCCTCATCCATCCATCCATCCATCCATCCCTCCTCTGTGCACTTGCTTCCGGTCTCCATCTCAAAATAAAACACTTGCTTTTCCTTTGATGAGATGTTTAAGTTTCAATCAGACTCTCAGGAGATGCTTATTTTAGRCGTGAAATGAGAATGTTTTTTAAGAACACTTCCAAAAATATTCTCCTAGTACTTTGCCATTTTTTATGAGAAGAAAAAAAAATTAAAAAAGACAAGGTACAAACACTCAAAAAGAACAAATCTTCCACCTTTTTTTTTAGAAAACATGTTATTTATTAAATAAATAAATACTGCACTTTTCTTACACAATAAGTTATTTAAGAGATTTTGACCAAGGTGATAATGGCTCTTAGGAGGTCCTTAAAGAGGCTCTAGCATGTTTTTTTTTGTTTTTTTGACATTTCTAACATCTTGCATCCTTCCCTCCCTCACCTCACATCACACCTCTGCCTCCTGGCCTTGTGTGCTGTCAATAAAGAGAAAAAAAAATCACAGTTTTAAAAGTTAGTGTGATATTAGACGCACACTGGCGACAGATAAAGCAGCCGCAGCGTTCGCACACGTTGATGAGTCATCTCTCGACACCGCTGACACACACTGTACATCATTTACATTATCTCACAGTCGAGCTCTGGTTGAGTTCAGAGCATCAGTTTGTGCTGTACATAACGAAAGCTGGAGCCAGCCCAGCATTTGTCTTTACTTGACCAACGTCATCGTTTTGTTTCATCCCCCCCGCAAAAAAAAAAAAATTAAACACATCTGGGGTCCTCTTTCGTACCAACGTACACCGTCCTACAATCGACATACAAAACAGCCCTTTTCCATCCACAATCATTGTGCTACATCTCCGCTTGTTTCAGTCTCTCTGCTGTAGTTTCACCTGCACCGATGCTGAGTCACGGCGGCGCGACGCGGTGAGGAGTGTTCATTTATTTCACTTAAGTCCAGCCTCGCAGTCTATCCATCTTTCACAAGTTCTGCGTGTGCTTGTTCCTCTGCAGCACTGCGGTAACGCCAGTTTGTTTTTTCTTGTGAGTTTTTTTTTGTTTTGTTTTGTTCTTGTTGTTGCCGTTTCTGATGAAGGTTTAGCTGCATCTCTGCAGGAGCATGTTGAGGGAGTAGACCATGCGCTGGCGCAGGTCAGCGGGGCAGCCGGACGTCAACAGGGAGCTGAGTTTGAAGGTTTTCGACACCCGTTCCTCATTGATGTACGTCAGCATGTACTCATCTTTCTGGCAACACAGGATGATCTTGGTGTGATCGTGGTAAAAGTTGACCTTTGGAAATAAAAAAAGAAAGATGTTATCGTTTTTTTTTTGTTGTTTTCACTTGCTTTCCTTCTTTGTTAGGGAAAATGTCGCCGTGCTTTGCATCAAGAGGAGATAACTCAGATCTTCAGAAGCGAGGGTTTGTGGAAGGTTATGAACAATTAATATTTTACCTCTCACAGAAAATAAAGTTTAATTCTGACTGGACTTAAGCACATCCTGACAGAAACAAACAGAGACCCTCCTTAGACAATCTGAACTGTATCTCATCCACTGAGCATGCCCAGCAATGGCTCTGTCTCCTGTGATGGTGGGTGTGTGTTTACCTGGAAAGTGCCGTCGTTAAAGAGCATCATGAGGGCGCGGTCAGACTTGAGCCACTGCAGCAGGTAGAGCCTTGGCAAGTGTGCATCTGTTATAGTACCGAGGTCTCCGCCCTGAAAACACAACGGCATCAGACAGGCTGCGACTCGAACGGTTTTTTCTTTAATGCTTCAGGGAGTGGAAAAACAAACAAACCAGCACAACAAGAAGGATGTAGTTAAACACACACACACACACACACACACACACACACACACACACACACACACACACACACACACACACGGGAGGTTGGGAAACAAAACTTTTCACTTACGTCCATGAGGTTTTCCTCCATATAGTGCGAGAAGTACTTGAGCACAGTRACTTGGCCCACAAAGTGCTCAGGAACCTCGCAGGTAGGAAAGACGGAGCGTTGGCCCAACTCTGCGTAGTAATGGATGGTTCTGAAAAGGAGAACAAACAAGGACACACGTCTTTAAAAACAACCCGCATTCGACAAGCACAAATTAAAAATAAAGAGCGGTTTGTGACATTTCTGTGACACTCCCGACAGAAACGTCTAATTAGATTAAATTAAAACGGCGTTCTCAGATTCTAATCAGCCTTCCCAGAGTCACCCTACATAAACAAACTCAAACATGTCCTTTCTGTTGATGACTAATAACTTTAAGGGTGAGGTGTTGTGAAAGAGCAGAAGTATGCATACTTTCTATCTGGCAGGAGGCTCATGTGGGTGCCGTTGTTGAACAGGACTCCCACGGTGTGATCAGACAACTGGTAGCCAAAGCCGTACTTGTTGGAATAGTCCACCCATTTCGTCACCCACTGAAGGTTGCTGCTGCTCAGGGCCTGGGGAGTGTCGTTTGCTGCACGGTGAGATAAAAAATGGGGGGAGGATTAGGATACAATCACAAGGAGGATCTTGAGAAAACATTGATGCACTGTTTGGAAGAGTCTTTGGCTTTACTAACAGAAAGCAGGTTTAAAGAAATGTGCCGCCTTCGGTATGTTTGGTTGAGCTAAATTCTTAGAAGTACGTTTGTTGCTTTTAAAGGGATCCCTGATTAGTTGTAACATTAGACTTTATTTGATAAACATATTTTAACTGTAAAATAAAGACTGTAGAAATACTGTAGGATGTTCAGTTTGGCAGAAAATTTTGACTGAGTCAAATTTTCAGACTAACAAGACAAATAATCTTACACATTCTGAAAACAAGATTATTATTCTTACACAATCAGTTCTTGTTTAGTAAATCAGTCTCAAAACAAGATCAAAAAGGCTTTTTGGCTGGATATAAGATTTTAAAACTTGGTAAGCTGGACAGTTTTTGCAGCGTAAACTAAAAGTTTAAAAATATATTACACAGACAGGCCATTATATTTACACGCAAAGCATTCTGGGTAAATGATAACATGGATAGGTCCTCGGTGCGAGGCTGCTAGCGAGCTATATCCACCCTGAAGGTTAATCTTGGACAATATCTGATGATCGACTCTTTTAAATGAAACCAGAGAGCGTTGACAGAGAGGAGAAGGTAGAAATGACTCAGRCTGMWACTGAAAATATMSATYGAGGACAACAGAGCTGCTTCATGGAAGAAGAACCTCAGCTTAGCCTGTTAGCTTTAGCATTAGCCCCGACGCTATCACCATATATGTATTAGCTCAGCGCTACACATWCTCRTCTCYTCACTGAGGTCCTCCATCCACATGACAGAGAGGGGAACGCAAAAATGACTCAGCTTGTAACTGAAAATATGGATGGAGGACCTCAGTTTAGCTTGTTTGTCGCGCTAGCACCGAGCTAATACATATATGGCAAAATAGCGTTGGCGCTAGCACAAAAGACTAACAGGCTAAGCTGAGGTTCTTCTTCCATGAAGCAGCTCTGTTGTCCTCCATCRATATTTTCAGTTACAGGCTGAGTCATTTCTACCTTCTCCTCTCTGTCAACGCTCTCTGGTTTCATTTAAGAGTCGATCATCAGATATTGTCCAAAATTAACCTTCAGGGTGGATATAGCTCACTCACACTGAGGACCTATCCATGTCATCATTTACCCAGAATGCTTTGTGTGTAAACAAAATGGCTCTGTCAATGTTAAAATATATTTTTAAAAATTATAAAAACTAAACAGCCTACAGTATTTTTACTGTCTTTATTTTACAGTTAAAATAAATGTTTATCAAATAAAGTCTAATGTTAGAACTAATCAAGGATCTTTTTAAAGAAATGTGCCGCCTTCAGTATGTTTGCATATTTCTGTTGAGCTGAATTCTTAGAAGTGCACGTTTGTTGCTTTTAAACAGCTGCGTGTTTTGATTGCACAGCACTCGCTCACCTTTGGGCATGCTCTCCAAGCAGCCCCTCAACACACCAGCCACCGTTTCAGCCACGCTTCCTGTCGTGCTGTCTTCCAAACCTTCGGGAGCGACAACACGGGGAGGATTTAGGTTTAAGTTCATTTTTCACACAACACCGACCACATTTCTGCACTGCTGTCTGACTCACATTCACTGCTGCTGCTACAGCTGCCCAGACTCCCCCTGACAATCAGACGGATGGTGTCTTGCGTCGTCGGGGACTGACTCTCTGTTGCCAAGGCGACGGGGCTCCCGGCAGATGGCGGAAGTAGACTTCCATTCTGAAAAAAAAAAAGGGTGGGAAGGAGTGACGACAGGGGCTCAGGAGCTGCGAGTTTAGATCATCTCTTCTGACTATGACTCAGTGGTCACCCACAGGTTCAAACCAGCTGCCTTAAAGGTTGAAAATAAGTGCTTCTCTGAAACTAAAACTAAAATTAAAGTTTTGCTCCGGAGTGATTCACTGGATTCTCCACAGCCGGGCATCTCAAATCTACACAAGTCTAATTGCTGTGTGACTAACACACCTGCAGTAATACCCACACTCTGCCTTTTCTCCTCACCTCAGACGTCTTTTTGCTCTGCTGTTGACTGATGACCGTTCTCTCCAAGTCGTGCTGCAGTTTGTAGATTTCCTCCTCCTCCTTGGTCAACTTATCTGTGAGAAAACAAACACAAGGTTCCCACACTTCGGTCAATTTCAAGGACTTTCCGGTACCAATTTCCTGAAATTAAAGAACCACGTGCAATTACTTCCTGCTACCTCAGAATGTTACCAATAAACAGGTTTAATATCATGTAAATTCAATGAAAAACTGAACAACATAGAAGTTGTTGAGTCAGAAACAATGACGTCTGTTCACCGTAACCCTGAGTTATCCACCGCAACAAATCTGTTTTTATTTAATTTTATAATTTATTTTTTAAAAGATGGTGAAAATCAGTGGTGCGAATACAGATTTTCAATCCCCAAAAACATTCAAGGACTTTCAAGGACAAGTGTAATTTTTGGCTGTTTTCACAAACTTTCCAGGGCCTTGAAATCAATTTTTTTTCCAAATTCACAAACTTTCAAGGATTTCAAGGACCCGTGGGAACCCTGAACAAAGCAGGGCCATTGTAGCCGAAGCTGCAGCGACTGATTCTAGGATAACTGCGCGCAGCCGACGCTTTTGTCTCGACCCGCCGTGCAGAAAGCGCTCCACACTCACTCAGAGTCTCGTAGTATTTGACCTTGTCCCTCTTCCCGCCGAACAAAGCCGCAGCCGCCTTCTTGAAGAAGCTCTTCGCGGGGCTGGAGACGTGGAAATCGGGCGCCGAGTGGCAGCAGCTAGGCGGCAGGCGCTCGGGACTGAAGCCCTGTGGAGGAGCAGGAAGAGTGGGTCAGCCTGTGCAGTTAAACTCCCACGCAGTGACGACAGACAGACAGCGGGCGGTGGTGGTGGTGRTCTGACCTGGGTGAAGAAGTCGTGCCTCAGAATGTGGTCCAGGTCAGGTCTGTCTTCCGGAGTCTTGGCCAGCAGGCTGGCAATGAGCTGCTTCGCCTGCGGGGACAGCGAGGACGGCAGGGAGTAGCGCGCCTCTCTGATGCACCTGTACGTCTCCTTCAGGTTGGTGGTTTCAAACGGGGGCCGACCCAACAGCATGGTGTACCTGCAGCAGATCGAACGTGCCGCTTTAGTCTCCCAAACCCCACTTTTAATAAGCTTAAAAAAGGCGATACGCTCTATGTGATGCCAAAAACGCATCGCAGGATATTTAACAGTCACAGCAAAAACATGAGTGTTAAAATTTCAGTGTTAACTTTAGTGTGTTGATTTAACACTCCCTAGTGTTATTTTAACACTTACTGAGTACACTCACACCCAGTGTTGGTGTTAATTCACAGTGTTAATTTCCTCAGTGTTGTCTCAACACTGGACAGTGACAAATAAGCTCCGCCCACAGTTAATCTTATGTAACACTTAACAGTGTTGTTATATGACACCATGCAGTGTTAAAAGAAGTATTGTGAAAAGCCCCGCCCTCTTCCACCAGCATTAGACAGACCATCATTTACCCAGCATTCCTTGCTGAGAAATCTTGCAGAAATGATGTTTTTCATGTTTATGACCATTAAAGACATTCATGAGAGTAAAAATGAGTTGTTCTGGTTTGTTTTCTTGTTCAGTTTGATCAAGTTGTTCATCTTTAAGTTTATGTTTTTGGCCAAAAATCGACACCATGAGTGGGAGGTACATCCTGGTGTGTGAAGAAGGGTGACTCCATTATACTTTTCTACTAACTACTGAGAGTTGATATTAACTCTGAGTGTTAAATTTACACTCTCAATTTCATGGTGACACCTTG